GGGGGGGGCAGGTTAGAGATGCCAAAGCGCCCCGGCTTGCACGCTGCCAAGCCGCTCGGGATGCGTGAGCACATGTGAACTGCAGCCTGCTGAGGGATGGAAGTTGCTGGATTTCTTTATTCGCACCTTTCCTACCCGAGGGAATTCCGTTAGCTATTGAAAACCTGCCCGTTACTGGAGGGCTTGGGCTCTGTTGCGTTTGAATTGAGGAGCTTTCGGCTTTGGGCGGTTTTAACTTTGTTAAGACTTGCAGCAAATCAAACCACGGGCATTTTTTGCTTTTCTCTATGTGCTTCAGAAGGTTGAAAAACAGACAATTATTATTTTTTTCAGTGTGGTTGAAACTCTATTATTGAAAGCACATTCTTTCTGCTTTGTAAAAAATTATTTCATGTGCCGTTAGGTTAAACGTAATTGTTTCAGTATAAGAATTAAAGTGGATTTTAATCGAGCCGCTAGAAATGCCACATGACTGCCAAGCTCTTTTGCTTCAAGTAACAGCTTGGTCTGCATGAAGAAAAACTTATCAAGAAAATAAAACCCAACCAACCAGGCAGATGGGCAAGGGAGCAGCATCAATCCACACAGGGCCTGGTTCGACAGCTGAAGGTTCTCTGGGGATTTCTCCTATAAACCAAAATAATTTCATTTGCTGCTAAAGTGCAGCAGCAGCCCCTGTTTGTGGAAAGCTTCCTGCTCCAGCCCTTCCTCAGCGGGTTTGCAGCATTTGCATGCTTCCATGGCTGCAGAAGAAAGCGCTTGGCTGTGGGAGCGCTGCTTACTGGGATCTGAAACTCCGTCACTGGCGGATAACAGTGACCTTATTCCAGGGCTGCTATGATGTTCGGGCAGTTCTGCGTTCAGAGCCCAGCAGTTTGCACAGGGATCTGTGTTGTGAGCGGGAAGTGCGTTTTATGGTGACGAATAACCAGATGAAGGGTTAACTTTGACTCCTCTTCCCTCCTCCTTTTGCCTCGGCTCCCAGGACAGGAGGGCTGCAGCACACTTCACAGCTCCATCCAGGACGTTCTGGATCATCGTGTCCATTGCCTCGTTTTTCGCAGTTGTTGGCATCAGCGTTGTGGGGGTTCTCAGCTTCTCCCCCAGCTCTGCCCAGGTAAGGGATCCTGATCCTAGCAGGAAACCTCCTCCTGCCCTGATTTGTGTTGGAAACACTTGCCCGGAGAGGAAGGGGCTGAGATCAGGGCTGGGTTTGGCCAGTTACCCCATCGCAGGCAGCCTGCAGGCAGGAGGGCAGGAAGGTGCTGGCAGCGCTGCAGGCAGCGAGCTGAGCAGTGGCTGTCTCACCCCTACAATGTGCCTGCCAGAAACCGTTGCTTAAATTAGAGGAACCTCGGTGCATCTTTCGTAATTATAGCCGCAAGCTGGTATTTTGCTAAGCAGGCGCGTTCCAACGT